GCTGTGTCTGTTTGGCTTTTTGAAGATTTTACATTTATGGATGTATGTTTCAATTTAGTGAAGTAAGTTCTTAAGTGTATATTTTTGTAATTTTTTCATTTTTATTTTGCATTTTGAAGGCAATTGGTGTTAAATTTTTTATGGCACGCCGCTGTCTTTTTATTGCGTCGAATGCATTTTTAATCACAGAAAAGGTATTGGGTAACGTTACACACACACACACACACACACACACACACACACATAAACACACACATACAAACACAAACATACACCCATACACACATACATACAAACATTGTATATACACGCAAACAGACGAACAAACATAACACTGGCACATGAATATACAATCGCACCCATTATATCTCTTATGCACGTCCAAATGAGTGTTATAATTCGAAAATAATTTGGAATGTCAGTAAAAAGATGATGTTGTTGTTGGTGGTGTTGTGTTGTTGTTGTGTTGTTGATGGTGTTGTTGTTGGTGTTGTAGCTGTTGGTTTTTAGTCTCTGCTGTTGTTGCTGCTGTTGTAAAAATTTAAAAAAAATTAAAATATTTAAAACTTCAAAATATGTGAAAGATGAAAAATTGTTTTTGTTAAATAAATATATTCAGGAAAGTAAAATATTTCAGAAAAAAAATTTCATAAAAAATGAAAAATTGTCAGAACAAAAAATATAAAAAATTGACCGGCGTTGGACGGCGATGCATCATTTTCCTTTCTCCACAGCACAATGACGAGAAAAACTATCGAATAGTACCGATAAATACCGAGTAGAACCGAAACGATAACGAATAATACCGACTAATATCGGGTAGAACCGAAACGATAACGAATAATACCGATGAAAACCGAGTACAATCGAAACGATAGCGAACAATACGAAAGAAATTGTTGGAAAATATCACAGATCATCAAGATAAAGCAAAAAATTTGCGGGTAGAGAAAAATAACGGCTAAATATACCTTATGAAATCGGCTTATTATCGCTAAACTGTACAATGGAAGAAAATTTAATTAAATAAAAAAAAATGTGAACAAAACACCATAGAAAATATAATGTCATGTGAAGAAGAAAAAAATTAATTTTTCTTTTTGTTAATTTTTTTTTCTTTGTCGTTTTCCCTTCAACAATGTGACGTCATCTGCGTTTGTCGTATGCCTAAATTGGTTTTTATTATTATTATTATTATTGGTAGTAGAAGTAGTAGTAGTAATAGCAGCGCTAGTAGTAGCAGCAGTAGTAGTAGTAGTGGTAGTATTAATAGTAGTAGTAGTAGTAGTAACAGCAGAAGTAGTAGTAGTAGTAGTAGCAGCAGAAGTAGTAGTAGTAGTAGTAACTAAAGTAGTAGTAGTAGTAGTAGTAGTAGTAATATTAAACCAGAAAGATTAATACGCCAAAGACAACCATTCCTAACAGTGCGTATCTAATCTAGCCGCAGAAGCAAGCTATTTATAATGCGAGGTCACATGATTTATGACGTCATCGTCTACGTCTCACATAGTTGCTGTTGCTAGTCTGCTGTTGAGTTTGCTGTCGCCAGTGGTGGCTGTAGTGGCTTTCATCTTTTGTAGCAGAGCAGCAGTGGTCGTAAGAGTAGTAGTTGTAGTAGAGAGAGTAAAATATAATAGTTGTTTTTTTTGTAAGTGTAATTGAAATTTTTGCTCTGACTTATGCAATAAATTTTTTTTTGATGTTACTGAATGGTTTAATGTATTCGTGTATACGGTAATATTTTGATGTAACGTATCTGGTAAATGTCATAATGTGATCACTTCCGTTAATGTTTTGATGTTACAGCTTCTATTAATGTCATTGATGGTGCTGAAGATGACGCTAAATGATGACAACAACATTGATGACGTCAAAATATGGTGAGGCTGATGATTACAATGATAAAGAGTTTGTCTGCTATCATGGGATGATTAATTAATTATTAATACTTGCTGTGAGTGAGTGAGTGAGTGAGTGAGTGAGTGAGTGAGTGAGTGAGTGAGTGAGTGAGTGAGTGAGTGAGTGAGTGAGTGAGTGAGTGAGTGAGTGAGTGAGTGAGTGAGTGAGTGAGTGAGTGAGTGAGTGAGTGAGTGAGTGAGTGAGTGAGTGAGTGAGTGAGTGAGTGAGTGAGTGAGTGAGTGAGTGAGTGAGTGAGTGAGTGAGTGAGTGAGTGAGTGAGTGAGTGAGTGAGTGAGTGAGTGAGTGAGTGAGTGAGTGAGTGAGTGAGTGAGTGAGTGAGTGAGTGAGTGAGTGAGTGAGTGAGTGAGTGAGTGAGTGAGTGAGTGAGTGAGTGAGTGAGTGAGTGAGTGAATGAGTGAGAGATTGAGTGAGAGAGTGAGTGAGTTAGTGAATGAGTGAGTTAGTGAATGAGTGAGCCAGTCAGCCAGTCAATCAATCAACTATTTAACTTTTAAATGAAGAACAACTGACATCATTTTATTGTGGGAATGTTTCAAAACGAGCACCTCCAGACGAACAATTTAGAGAATGCAAAAAATTCAAAGACTCCAGTATAAAATCAAATAGTGACAAAATCTGACGCCAGGTTCGCGCGAATCATCAAATATCTTTATTGAAATCATAGCTGAATAAACTTTTATGTGTTTGTTTGTTTGTTTGTTTGTCTGTTTGTTTGTTTGTTTATTTAAGTTTTATTATTTAAAAATTAATAATTCTTTGTTTTTTTTTGCATGCGTCATTACGTCATCATAAGGTCTGAATGAATAAGCGGAATTAAAAATTGAGCAAAAATAAATATTCACACACACACAACACACACACACACACATACATACATACACATACATACATACACACACACATACACACATATATATACATACATTCAAACATACACATACAAACATACAAACAAACAGATAAAAACACAAAAATATATACAAATATATACAGTGCATATATATATTACGATTTTTTCGGTATAGTTTATTTTGTTTAGTTTATTAAAAATTACATATAAAAAAATATAAATAATATATTTTAATTATATAATTCATTATATTTATACATATTTATAAGCTTTCAGATTTCAGAAGAAGAATAAAATGTCTCAAAGCAATTGAAAGATATGAAATAAATATTTTTCATTGTCTGTAAGCAAGTAGTTGTGAGACTTGTTGATGGTGGTGATGACGATGGTGATGACGATGATGATGACGATGATGATGACGACGACGTTGATGATAATGATGACGATGATTATGATGATGGTATGGTTCAGTTCAAGTCTCATTTCTTCAATTTCTCATTGTTAATTAATATTTTTTGTTGTTGATGTTGTTGTTGTTGTTGATGATGTTGTTGATGTTGTCGTTGATGTTGTTGTTGGTATTGTTGATGTTGTAGTTGATGTTGTTAGTTTTGTTGTTGTTGTTTGGTTATTTTTTAACAGTTTCGACAGCGCTGTTGTGGATCTGCTGGAGTTTGTTGTTGTTGCTGTTGCTGTTTGTGGAATAAACGCGTTTAATTGGCTATCATCTGACGATGTCACGTGATGCGCTGGTGACGAAACAAGATGGCGGCGCCTTGGTTCTTAGGGATTTTTAAACCGATATATTTAGGTGACTAAATACTTGGTTCGTTTGATTTTACATTCATTCATTTACTCATTCATTCATATATTCATTCATTTATTCATTCATTCATACATTCATTCATTTATTCATTCATTCATATATTCATTCATTTATTCATTTACTCATTCATTCATATATTCATTCATTTATTCATTCATTCATACATTCATTCATTTATTCATTCATTCATATATCAT